GTCTGTTGCCGTCGGGTGCCGTTTGTACCCTGTGGGCACCCCTGGTCCTGGCCCTCCGAGGTGTCGGGGGGCACTGGCAGCTCCTCCTTTTTCCCCGCGGTGTCTCCCCGTTAATTCTCCAGCCGAGCGGGCTGCTGGTTCCTCCTCACCCCCCCTCCCCGGCCCGCGGAGGAGAGCGCAGCTGCCGCCACCCGCGGCTCTTACGCAAGGAGCAATTAGCGAGAAACGCGTAGGACCTGTTGGGATGGGTGCCTGCCTTCTGGGGACCCATTAGTCTCGGTTACGTGTAGGCGCTTGCGTTGGGTGACTTCATTTTAGAGGATTCACCCCGGGTTCATCGCGGACACTTCAGGAGGTTGCGTTGTCTTTCTTATTAATTTTCATTTAATTTTATTTTCACTGAGGTTGGCTTCTGTCTGACAGATACCACGCCATGTTTGTGTTTCTGGTGGTGCTGTGTCAGCTACACGTGATGGTGTTTGCGTTTCCTCACTGCCCAGGGAGATTAAATAACTTGAAGAAACCTGAGCGGAAAGACGGTAACTTCCTTTTCTTGTGATTTTGTGCTTTCCAAGACAGAACTGTATCTAACTTTGCTGACAAATCTTTTTATGTGTGTAAATAGCTTTGATTTCCTCTATTGGTGTTGGGGTTTTTTTACTTCATTAAAAAAAAAAAAAATTAAGCTGCTTTATGCTTAGAGTATTTGAATATCTTTTGCTGGAATGATTGATAATGGACTGGTGTGTCGATATTAAGTACTTATCAGATCCAGTAGTAAGTGCTGTTTGGGACAACTGAGCATTCCCCAGGTCTCTAGGATTACTGTCATTGACATGACCAGAATCCTGTAAGGAACACCAAAATTCCCAAAGTTTGAAATCTGTATTAAGGCAGTGCTGCTGGGGTACTACTTGAGCACAGTTTTTTGGACTCGATGATCTTAAAGGCCCCTTCCAACCATGAGGGTTCTGTGATTCTATTTGTATATCTAAAATTGTTTTGTATTTGAAAGGGTTTATTTGTTTGTTTTTGAGATTGACATGGTGTTGCTATTGCAGTTCTTCACTTTGGAGGGAGGGAAGTGGAGAGGAATTGAGGTGAAAGCAAACAAAGTTCCCCAAAAGGACTCCAGCACTAACTACAATGCTAAGCCGTGTAATACGTAACATTTAAGCATCAGGGATTCAAAAAGGAATTTGATACTTGGTTGTCCGGTCTCCTCAGTGGGTAGGGAGTGCTGAGACCTTAAGACAGACTTTAAAAAGTCGTCACATTGAGCAGGAGGCTCCTTCAGGGGAGTATATTGAGCAGCAAACGTGGCTAGTGGAAAAATGCTGCAGACGAGTTATTCATTAAAATCCATATTGCTCTGGGGCATAAAACATGAGGCTGCCAGGCTGCCTCTTTGTTGGGAGTTCAGGGTGTAGAACCCTCTCCTGACAAGAGACCCAGATCACTCCTCTTTAAAGGAGGAGTTGGAAAGAGAGGGACCCAGTAATTTAGCAAGTAGAACAGTTGCAAAGAGTATGGGGTACCTGCGTGGAGAATTTACTCCTTCAGCATTTTCTGAACATCTTTTACCAGCAGAGTTACTTTATTGAGCACATCATGTGGACGCATTTTTAATTAAATGCCAGGCATCCTAAAACTGGATTTACTGTTTCGTTGAACCATGGCCTCGGGACTGCGGGGCTGCATCCAGTTCTCTCACGTATAGGAGAGAATTCAAATCCATCTGTCTCCTCCTCCAAATACTATCTTAATGACCCGGTCGTAGGTAATTTGGAGATGGAGACAGGTGCACTTTGACTGTGCCCTGCAAAATGAAGAAAGTGCAGTTAAATGCATAAAGACTCTTCGAAAGAGAAAAGGAGCATGTGTCACTGGGAATTAGGAGTGCTGGGCTGCGGGCAGTTTGCCTGTGCATTCCACATTAATAAAAATGCATCAATTATCTAAGGTAATTTAGAAGTATAGTGAGTACTACTTGCGTGGTAAGGGATGAAACACTGCTGAGCAAAACTGAAGATCTCTCTTTCAGAAGGCTGAAGTTATTCTTGCCAGTTGTACTCAACCAAGATATTTTTTTCCATGCAGTTCTTTTCCCTTTCCACTTGAGGGGTTGGGGAAATCTTTTTTGGATTAAGTCCTTCTCTCTGGTTGCTCTTAGATGTAGCATAAATACTTTAAGCTTAGATTTTCTTGCAATTACTTTAGAATAGCAGATTTCCCTTCCTACGCAAACGTGTGCGCACGTGTGTGACTTCTTCAATATATACTGTAATATTATATAAATTATATAATGTAGTGTAATATAGTATGTTAAAATTCCTTCAATACACTAGAATATTAAAACCATAACCAAGATGCAAGTTACACTGCAGTTTTCTTAGTTTTCAGAGAGCAAACTATTTTGAGATACCATTGCAAGATCTAACAGTAACTATTTGGGCAAAAATTCCTGAATGATGTGATAATCTCACCAAACAAGCTAACAAGAACACAGAGCTAATTTGTAGCTGAATAACATTATTCTGAATCTCGTCTCCTTTTTTAGCCATCTGGCTTGCTATGTAACAATGCTGTTTCTGCATTACGCTTGCAAAAATAATCCTCTAGTCATTCTGCTTAACGAAATAGTCTGAATTTCTTGGAGTACAGATTAGGCTTTCACTGAAAACCAAGCCAGAAAACTAGTTGTGTCATATAAAGATTCTTTTTTTTTTTTTTTTTTTTTTTTTAAGAAGCTGTAGCAAGAGCAGGCTAAAACTTGACTATGGAAAATGCCTGGTGAGAAAATACATTCCTGTATTCCAAAGCCTTCTATAATTTCACTAACTGTTCTGGAATCTCACCTCACAACAGACTCCATGAGGCCTTATGGAGCCTGTAAAAGCACAAAAGAAGAAAAGAATTAAATGTCTTCAGTAGTGCCTTTTTTGAGTAAAACTGCTATCATGGACTAATTTAAAACAAATAACTGTGGCAATATGCCAGCCTTTACATAAAACTTGCTGCCACAGTTGTGAAATGAGAACATGTGTAAAATGAGCGGGACTCTGCTGCCATGATTTAAAATCCAAATTCCATAAACAAAATTTTGGAACGCACATATACCAGAAGATGCATCAATGTATAATGAGGATTCTTTAGAAGGAAGAGGTTTTTGTTTGGGGTTTTTTTTTCCTGCTTCTGCCTCCTTCCTCCAGTAGGTCAGTGTCTTGCTGTGTTTGCATCTGACTGAATTTCTGCTTTATGCAACTATTACTTTGTTCTTAAGAGCACCAGTAAGAACCTGATGCCCACATCCCAAAGGGGTAATACCAAAACTTGAACAACAGTCACGCGAAGCAAATGCTCTTGGCCAGTACAAGGAATAGCTGAAATGCTTTATGAGAAAGGAAAATATGTTTATTTTCTGTTGCATACTTAGAAAAGTTAGCAGCAAAGGCGATGTTTTAGGAGGAGACCTTGAGGTTTCTTTTTTCCTGTATGTGGTTGAGAGATGCTTGGGGAAGAAGGGGTTCAATGTGCTCTTTTAGGATATTAACCATACTTTAAAATCACCAAATTTAGCTTTCCTAATTTGTTTTAAATCAACTTGATTTTTTTGGGTTTTTTGGTTGTTTTTTTTTTTTTTATTAGTGTTCACATCAGAAAAGGAGGCTAATTTATTCATCGGCCGGCATCTTCTAAATAACAGATTTGACTTTGAAGCATTCACAGCGGATAACCTGGAGAGAGAATGCTTTGAAGAGCTGTGCAATTATGAAGAAGCGAGAGAAATTTTTGAAGACCCCGATAAAACGGTAGGTGTTCCAACTGAATTTAATATACTGAAGGAGGTTACTGACTAAATCCTTACTGTATCTAAATACTGTAGCCCTTCTGAAAACAGCATTTAAAATAAGATGATTGCTTATTTACTGTAAAAAGTGGAGGCCTCAGATAGATGGGGTTGTTACATACACAGTGAATACACCTGAATATGTACTATTGTTTTTGAAACTTTAGATAAGGGCTCTATTTCTGCAAACAAACATAAATGAAACTCCAGACATACCACTTGTGGATATACCTGTATGTGTTTGCAGAATCCCACTTTTATTTTTTAAAGTAACTTCTCAGCATCCAATGTGAATGTGCTCCACATGCTCTGCGCTGATTGTGTCCTTGTGTCATGCCAAAGAAGTATTTTAGAAGAGAGGAGAACAGAGCAAATTCGTGGTTCAGCCATTGCTGAGTATTCCTATGGCATCTTCCAAATAGCTCCCTGTAGACAGCTTGGAAGAAACTTGCTATAAAAAATGGAATAGTGGAACCTGATGATTGCCTGAAGACTGGCTCTTGCTACATGCAGCAAGAATCTCTGTGTGATTCTCGGTGTGCTCTGCAGTAACCTGCAGAAAGAGCAAGGAACACACTCCTGTTCTGAAGGGGGGAATGTTAGTTTGCCATTGCTAACATTTCCCTAAGAAAAAGGTGAAAGTGTTAAATTGGAATCTTGATGGAGTCTTTTGCTGCGTAGCAAAAGTGGAAGGTATAGCTAACCGTGTTTAATGCATAACAGTCACACAACGTAAAGGTTTTCTTCATAAATGAATCCCATTATTTTTCCTACCTGATATGAATACAGATATTTTCCATGCAAATGTCTGATTTTTAAGAACTTGACATGTTGAATGCATAAGTCATGCAACGTAAAGGTTTTCCTCATAAATGAATCCCATTATTTTTCCTAGCTGATATGAATACAGATATTTTTCATGCAAATGTCTGATTTTTAAGAACTTGACCTTGCCTCATTAATACTCTTCTGTAGGGATTTAGAAAGATTAATTGCAAGCAATTTTTTTAGTATCAGAACATATACTAACTTCTACTGTAATCGGGCAGAAATATAAGGTAAGATGGGACAGTTAAATGCACTTTCTGTATCACCATATGGCATTCTCTTCTTTGTGAAATTGTAATAAAACAGTGGGATAAGCAAGTACAAATCCTCCAGCGTGAGCTGGTTCTGTTTATGCAGTAATTAAATTTTGCCCACAGTGCCATATTGAAAAGAGTTGTCAATAAGCCTGCCAATTATCTATCTCATATAAATTTGATCCTTTGTGTTTTTATAGATGGATTTTTGGAAAGACTATTCAACTAAGGGCCCTAAAATAAAAATAGGTAAGTAATCTTTTTTATTCTTTTCTTATACCACAGTATTTTTTGTTTGCTACAATAGTACATTCTTAAAAATAAACCATGCATTCAGGTCCAAAATCAGAAGTGGTCTTTTCACTGAAATTCACTGTAAACTATGCAAGTATATTGCATTATATGACATAATAAAACATACTCAAGTGCCTTACTCACAGTGGGATCCATTTTAAGTCTGTAGGTAAAAAACAGTCTGAATTTTGTTCTCCATTTCTTTGTTTTATTACATAATCAGTAAACTTTACAGTAATTGTATGGCTGCTTTCTGTGGTTTTGTTCATTCTGGCCCCCCCATCTCTTTAATAGTAATGTAACAGTCTGATTCATGTTCTGAGTAGTCTTACACCAGATGTTTTATTAAAAAGATGGTCAGTATGACTTGAGGGAAGACCTACAGCCTGCTCAAGGTCACTAGTACATGAAGTAATATTTGGAAGGCATTAGAAGACAGACATCTCAACAGTTTTATGTACCCAAAAGGGGATGGATATCTGCTCACTTTAGCTTTAAGGTGAATGTGAATGATACTTGAGTTGTGTTGCACAGATATTGTGGCTTCTTACAGCAAACTAGACATTTGTGGAAAGGAACAGCCTTATAGCACAGTAAAATTAATACTTCACGGTGTATACGATATTCTATGTAGATGGAAAGAACACGTAATGAAAATAACCAATGTTTTATTTTCAGGTGATGAGACACTACAAAAGATTAACGTTACAGGACTTCTCATCAGTCTAGTTGCTGCTGGAGTACTGTTAGTTATAATTGCACTGCTTATCTTCTACTGCTGCAAAAGTAGATGCAAATCAAGGCAACCGCCAGGGTAAGGAACATCACTGCTTAAAAAAAACAAAACAAAACAAACAAAAACCAAAAAACAACCAAAACCAAACTCTTGCTTAAGAGTGGAATTTAAAACTTCCTGTGGGTTGGTCTAACTGTGTTCTCAGCGAATCCAATGGATGTTCTAGTTCTTACTTTTCCAGGAAGCAAAGTTAGGTGAGCACTAGCAGTAGTTACGCTGAAATTAATAACACAAAACCATAAGACAACAGTCCAATAGCTGACGTATCTTTGGCTTTTTTGTGTGTGTTCTTGGTTCCAAAATACTCTTACTAAAAAGATGGAATACTTTTAATATGTTGGGGACTGCAATGGAAAGTCAAACATGTTCTGCTTGCTCGTCATGGGTATGGGGTGCATGCTCTTCGTGGCATGTTGTCCACGAGCTGAAGTAGGCTGGAGGAAATGCTTCCCTACCAGTTCTCCAGCCCTGCTTGTTTCTTGATCTGTGGCATGTTGTCCACCTCAGATGCGAGATGAAGTAGGCTGGAGGAAATGCTTCCCTCCCAGTTCTCCAGCCCTGCTTGTTTCTTGATCCTAAGCATGAAAGGAACACAAGAGGATCCTGTGCTTCCTCTTCCCTATAAATTTCACATTACTGAGATATTCTTACCCTGTGGTTTGCAGAGAGTATTTGGCTTCTTGTGTTTATGATCATTGAAGGCAAGTGTTTTTTTGTGGGTGGGTTGTGTTGTTTTGGTGGGGTTTTTTTTGTTTGTGGCGTTGTGAGTTTTTTCTCTTCTTTTTGGGGTGGTGTTTCTTTAGGTTTGTTTTTGTTTGTTTTACAACTAAGACTTTATATTCTTCCCTTCAAAACAGAAGCTGACACTTACAATGCTGTTAACCTTGTTTAGGTACTTGGATTACGTAAGACGTCGAAGATGTAGCTCATCTCACATGTTCAGAAGGCACGAAGAATTTTCTTTAAACCCACTTCCTCTCCGAACTGATGACTCAGCACTACCAACTTATGAGCAAGCAGTCACTTTAGCTGGACAGCACGACGTGCCACCACCCCCTTATCCAGGGCCACCAAAAGGGGCACGGGTGTTGAAAAAGTCTATGTCGCTTCCTGCCCCTTAGTCACAAACCTCCTCCTGAGGTGAGGGGAGGGATTGCTGAAACATAACGTACTTTTTTTTTTAAAAAGTGTGTGCTACCTTGCATATTGCAAGACAGTTTACAAAAAAATGTGAGAGATCTTTAGCACAACCAGAAACAAGTGAAAGTCCCATTTGGGAAAAAGGGGTGAGCTGTTGCAAAGGCTGCAGGACTGTTCTTTGCACCCGGTTATTGTGTCAAGAGGAGGGACTGCAGAAAGAGTACATTTTGTACCGCACTTTGAGCCATCCCATCCTACTATTGATGTTTCATTAATAGTTTCATGGTCTTTTTCTTCAGAAGGAACAGTGTTTTAACTGGTTTTATTGAAACTAACCATTCTTTGTGACTGTTAATACTTTAAACCGCTATAAGAAGTCTACTTTATTGTTTTGAGATACTCACTTCCTTGCCGTGTCAATTTTCTATTCATTCTAGTAATAGAATCGAGTATGAAAATTATTTTATTATTTGATCTTTCAAATGTGTATATGTTTCTGCTTCTGGATTGCACTGGTTTGTTTTAGACATTGCTGGTTAACACGCTACTCAACTTGTTGTATTTTTGTGATTATAATTTTGGATGAAAAGGAACCAATTATGAATTGTGTGGCACATTATCCATTCAGACAAAGTATACTTTTATCAAATGGTTTTGATACTCATTTCAACCTGGTATTTAGTGCTGAACAAGCAGAGTACCGTGGGTCGGGGACATTAAGCAAATAGTTAGAGATTTGTCTCTTGTTAAAAACTACCCAGGTTTCACAGATAACTGTTTCTCTTGCAATTTAAAAATGTAAATGTTGAAAAAAACATTTATCTTGTCAAATTAGAGGCAAAACTACCCCACAGAGGCACTTGGCATTAAGTATGTATTGCTCTGCTGGTAGGACAAAATGGTACCTTTGAGCAGAATGAAACATCTTATTAGATAAATAACCAGTATCCACAGAGCAATAGTCAAGAATTTCGGGTAGTTCCTGGTTAACACTATGAACGCAATTTCTGTACCTCCTGTTGTAGCCACCCTTAATTTTACATTTTATTATAATATCAGCCCCCAGCATTATGTGGCCTACAGATCTTGCTGAGCAAGCCACAGACCAACGTTGCTGTCCCTTTACCTTCTTCTAGTCAGGTACTTGGTGCTGCAGCAGAAAGAGCCTCCCGGAGCCTCTCACAGGTGACACGTCTGGCTGGTGTCTTCTTGTACGACAGTAGTTATGGAGTTGGACACATGCAATTAAGCTTTTTAAGATGCAACAAATGCCTCCTCCCCCCTCCATTTGACCAACGCTGACAACAGCAAATGGTATTTTAATTTGGTGCCTAAAATGCACTTTTAGATAAAGGTTGAATATTTATATGTAACATGTAACTGAATTTTATGTTTTTTAACATGCTAGCACCTACAGTGCTATTGAGTGAGGTGCAGAGGATCGCTAGGAGATTTTTAATCTGTAAATGCTTTTGTGAAGAAGAAAATGCTCCAAATCTTGGAATATAAAGAGGGTACACTGAAAATGCTACACAAGGAGGTCTTGCCCTTTGAAAAATACACACAACCCAGCTGGTATCAGTGGACATTGGACTGTGGTCTTATTCCTAGAGCTTCAGCATCAGACTTGGCTTTTGACAAGTCACACAGCTCTTTGCAGCTTCTTTTTTGTGGAAAGATGGGGGAATCCCTGTGGTGGGACAACTTCAAGTCACTGTTGCTCTCCTTGTAAAAGCATTTTGAAGTTCTTTGGACATTACTGTTCTGTAAGACTGAAGTGAACTGTGCAAGAAAATGGCTGATAACCAAAATACAGAGTTACGCTGGAGCTATGGAATTACAAGCTTGCACAAACATTTCTCCCATATTTCATTTGGCTAATAAATTTAAAATTTGTTAATGTGCATCTTGAGCTATAGAGCACACTTTTCTCTTACCACAAAAAAGACATTGAGGTGCTTTAGCGGGTCCAGAGAAGGGCAATGAAGCTGGTGAGGGGTGTGGAGAACTAATCCTTTGAGGAGAGGCTGGGGTTGTTCACCCTGGAGAAAAGGCTGAACAAGAAGAATTTAGAAGAGCAAGACCAAAAAAGACCAAAGTGTCACATGGAAGTGCACTTCCTCACCACAGTTCATGAAACTGTGAATCATGAAGCATTTGATTCTGGTACCGTCAAAGTCTATGGCAACTTTTTATTGGCTTCAGATAAACTGGGATTGGCACCAAAAATTAAATAACTGATCACTTGAGGTAACTCGTCAAAGTCTATGGCAGCTTTTTATTGGCTTCAGATGAACTGGGATTGGCATAAAAAAATTAAATAACTGATCACTTGAGGTAACAAAGACTGTAACGCTCTGCCAAATTATTTACCGCGATGCTGTTGCCAAACTTTACATATTCTACTGTTTTAATGATGCCTACTTACATTAACTGTAATGCTCGAGGCTGATCTGCCCTTAAAAAATATATTTGAAATGCACAGGAAAACACCTTTGTCTTTCCTCAGATTACCAGCTGTGAATAAGCTGCATTAATTACCTGTAGGTTATTAGCAACACTGATTACCTTGATCAACAGGAAAGGTTCATTTAGAGCTTTAAAAAAAACCCCAAACCCACAACAAACCAACAAGACAACACACTTTTCTAACTACAGTCTCATCTGCCAACCAGAGTTTTACTGCTGCTATCCTCACTTGTTCCACGGGGTGTAGGGAAAAGGAAGGAAACCCCAGGTTTAAAAGCCATCCTTCAAACACTTCAAGCTTGCTCTCTCTATACTATAAATGTCTTTCCTAGCACATGGAAAGTTATCACTATTACCATTTTCACAACCAAAATTTGCACCTATTTTCTTCTCAAAAATTTGAAGCACATATTCCCAAATACCCTGCTATTTATTTAGGTGGTAAATTTTGACTCTTTCCAGTAATTTCTGAACTGCGCGAACAGTTCTTGTTACTTAATCTTATTAACATATTTCCTTCTACTCATCTAACAGAGTCTTTTGAATGCACTTGTCACTGGTTATAGTTTAACTTTGATGTTAAATGCTGTCATTTTGTTGAGGGAGGGGTAGCAATATTTTAAACCCTGCTAGTCTTTGTATTATTTTGTAAGACAATTTCCAAATAAACATTTATGCAGGTTAATCACAGCAAAAGAGAAAATACTAACTCAGCCTATGATAGAGTTAAAAAACCTCTGACAGCCCTTTTTTATTTTTTTTAAGTGAATCTGATGCCAGCACACACTCTTCTTCATGCCATATAGCACCTGTCGACAGGGAAAAAGGGTCACGGTTTGTTTTCTTTTCTTTTAACATTGGCAATTTCTGCTCTGGACAGAAGCTTCCTGCTTCACTGTTGTAGTTCACTGAAGCATCTGAGCTTCCAAACCACAAGCTGCAGTCACTGAGGATGAAGTCTTCAGGACAAACAAGCCAGCTGAACCAGGTTTTGTATCCTTCCATCCTGGACTTTCACCAGACCTTTGGGGAGAAGATTTATCACAATAACGTGGCTGTAAAATACCTGTTTTCTTAGGGTTAGTGAAGTGAGCAAGATCATTCCAGTGAGGACCAGAACAGGTTCGTAGAAGCAACACCAGAAGCTGGACTTCCTTGATGGTAATGGTGATTTCAATCCGAAGTGAAAGTACACATCCTGCAATGAGAAGAATTGTCTGCAGGGAGGCAGGAGGGCTAGATGAGGGCAGCTAAATTAAGTCACTCTTACACTAAATTAAGTCACTCTTGCCCACTGGATAGTCAGATTTATGCTTTTTCTCCCAACCACACAAGATAAGCTGAACTACCTGGTTAAAACTCTACAAAGACCACCAGAATCTCCTCCTATATTTGAACATCCAGTAAAGGTTTTTAATCAGTCAACTGAACTGGGACTTGGAATACAGCTGGTGGGGTATAAATGCTTCATTCTCATTAAATGTCTTGGAAAAATAGAATCCTAGTTCTTTGGAAAATGTATTTTATGTCATCTATTATATTATGACTTTAGCTATTCAGTTCCCAGCTATAAAAAAAAAAAAAATGGGGAGCTTGTATCTACTGGATTTCACCAATTCTGAAAATTATGTGGAAGCTGAGCAAATTTATAGCATGCTGACACTTATTTAAAAAAAAAAAAAAAGCTAGCCAGAACTCATAGTAATAAAATCTCCCATCTAACTTTTAATCTCTGTGTCCATTTAACAGAAAGCCAGCCCATTCACTTTGAAATGTCAAAAACAATTACTGCAAAACTGCCCTGACTAATTTGGCAAAATACTGAAATGTCAGCAAAAGACTAACTCCAGCTGGGAACAGCGGGTCCTATGATGTACCACCAAGGGAAGCAGCAGTACTTCCATCACTGTCTGAACCACAGTTTAGTTTGCTGCCTACCCCTGTGGGAGTAGCCTCCCCAAATTTTTACCAGCTGGACATCATTCCTCTATTTTACCATAACGATATATTAACTTTTACATAACTTCACAGTGACAACTATACTAACTGCTTATATGGAAAATAACAGAAGAGTATCAAATGTATTTTGGCTATTTTTGATGCAGTAAATTTTGTTCATGTTGAAAATATATCTATTAACTACATTTGCTTAACATTTAACTTCTCTTTTCCTTCTGTTCTTTTTTCCTTTTCTTATTGTTTTACCTATAATTTGTTATTGAACTTTTTTCTTTCTCTAGTTCCTTTTTCTGTGTCTATTTGTGATCTGCTATTGCACACACTCACCTGTTTGCTTCTTTTTTAAGGGTTGAAATAAAACGCTCCCTGTCAAAACTGTGAGTTTGCTCAAGAGCAAAGGTTTTATTCAAGTTTTCTTTTTCCTACACGTCATTACACATCTCTCCCACTTACCTTATACCAGTTCTAGTGCTTACTAGAACCCTTGAGAAACCATCCAGCAAAAACGTAGACAGCTTTCCCTTAAGTGGGTGAGTTGAATCAATGCAAGTGCTGGTGGTGGCACCTTGGAAGGTGCAGGACCACATAACCAGGACTGGGAAAGTGAAGGGAACAAGGCCTTCCACCTCACTGCTGCAGCGAGCCTTCGAGCAGATCAATCATCTCTTGTCATGTCAGAAGTACCATGGTTTAGTAGTTCAATAGAATTAATTGTTTGCTTCGTTTGTGTGTACATATACTTAAGCTTATTATCAAATAAATGCACAGAGTAGTATATGTAAATAAATGCAAAGAGAGAGAGCATTTGCTGTGAGGCTCCAAGATCAAGCGTGTTCTTTGAAAAGCAGCCCTTTCTTCCCTATTTACACATTTCTTAACGTCTAGCTTTATGTTTAAAGAGGCCATGTGCCAAATTAAATGCAAAATCTAATCTGGTAAGCAATTGCAATTTTCGTCTCTGGTTAGAATCACAATTACAAAAAAAAGCCAACAACCAAACCCTAAACCAGTCAGTGACTAATAGTAGGCCTGACCAAGACTCCTGTTGTTACCACAGAATATCTGATGCTCTCACCCCTTGCTGCTCCTGGGAGATACCACAGCCCAGCAGCACACACAGAAAGCCTGCACAAAGGAGCCGCAGCCACAATCTACAAGCACATGCCCAGCCTCCGTCAGTGCTCAACGGAGAAAGACAATACACAAATTTTATTTTGCACTCTTTTTAGAATTTGTTATTAAGTTAGACCCAACCCAGCTTTGGCCTGAACTTCAAACTTCATCTGATCAGACACAGTCAAATTATTTGAATGCTTTATCTTGGAAACATTAGTTTTCAAAGAAGAATGTCCCCAAGTCTCCCAAACGCTATTTTCAAACAATTGTGAAGAGTCATTCTCTCAGCACAAGGCTAACTGTTAAGCATTTCTAGAGCTTTTGTTGACAAATGGTTAGCCACTGAAAGCTAACCACTAAGATGTTTGTGTATGTTAGTGAACTATTTATGATACTCTGATAGTTCCAAAATAAAGTACTATTATGAACTGAAATACAGTCCTTTCGGTCCACTTTCAACAACCAAGCTGTAATCTCAGAATTGCAGTTAACCACATGCCGTGCCTTTAACCACTTTCTTCGATCAACAGCAGCTGAAGCTGCTGATCCAGATGTGCATCTGACTATTCTTCCATGGTTCTTTGCAGCCCATCAAAAATTGCCCTGAAGCATACCAAGAATTTTGCTGCAAAACCAACAGTTTACAGATTTAGCTGAAAGCCTCTTCATGCGAGGAAAAAAAATAATATTCTGGCACTTAAACATGAAGGAAAAGCCAGGACAAGACCAAAACCAGGCACTATGTGTCACGGAAAGACAGGAACAATGGCTTCTGTGGGAGAAGAGGGCATTCAGGGACAGACAGACACTGGAAGAGCCTTGTAGAGCCAGGTTTGTCGAACCTGCAATAAAAAGGATGCCAAAAGCACAGGCAGCAACCTCTGGCCCTATGAAGAATCACCCCATTCTGTAACATCTCCTGCCACATGCACAAGGACCTTAGTGGTGCTATCCTGGTATTTAACATCTGTGGTACTGTTAAAGCTGTAACATGCCAAAATAGCCTTCTGCCTGGCCAGTCTTGTACATATGAAACATACAAAATACCCACATTCAACTAAAACACTGGCTGATGCTTTTCTGCTAACGTGGGTAATAGCAATAGCACACTCAGCAACAAAGACCTTACTAAATAAACAAATCAGTTACAAATAAATAAACCAACACCAAGGGTGAACTGGAGCATTATTCTGGCCTGGGATTTGTGATTGATATATTGGTTTTAATTACGACCAAACCACAGAAAACTGCCAACTGCCCGTTAGCTTGATCCCGCATTTCATGTGGCATACCATCACTTTAAACACAAAACTAGACCTCAAAAAGCAATATTGCCATTCAGCATTGTGTAACATTAAATTATTTAAACTGAAAGAGGAAAATAGGAAAGTTTCCCTAAGGGGCAGTGTATATTAGCTAACACAGTTCTGGAACAGAGCTGGCTTGATTCTGGCTGAACTGGCATACGGGCAGAGAAGCCGTTACTGTCCACAGAGGTATATCCTCAAGCACTCCTAGTCTGGTATAGAGATTTCTACACTGAATATACCATGAGCCAAGTCAACATCTCATCATCAAAAGTAAAATTTCCCTGCTCTTTCTTGTCATCTCTTTCCCTTCCCAGCTGCTTCTGGCACCCACTGGATTCAAAGCAAGCTAACTCTGCTCAGCGAAATTACAGAAAAACGACCTCTGGCAAAAAAAAGTAAGTGTTCTTTGTCAGTGGAGTCAATTTACTGCCCATATTGTGGAGTGGGAGGGTGGAGCAGGGAAGGAGGAAGGGAGAATAAAGCCTTCTCCTTTGGCCCAGCCCTGCTGCCACCACCACAGGTGAAGGGAAGCAGCAGCACACGCTGCAGCTTTGAAGATCACTCCTTGACCTCAGGCAGACGACTCCCATTACAGCGTTACCTTAAGTAGTTAAATCTGTCTCCTAACCATCACATGATGTTTTTGACTCTCTAAAGGATTTGTTACATTATTTTTCCAAGCGGAGACTGTTCATCTAGGGAAAGAAATGAGCAACAAAAATTCAGTACTGCCCCAGGCTGGTATGCTGCACAGATTGTGTTACAGTGCTGTAATTTAAGATTTTGCTCTTAAATAGAGTGAAAAATTGTATTACCTTGTGTTTCAGCAAAATATATTTATTATATTAAATTCTTGACTTGAGAGAGAAGCTCATACAAAATATCATTGCTGGCTACAGGCACTCACTTATGAACTACAGTTCATGAAGTGTTAAAGCCCACCAAAGCTCAGTCCTAAACGGCAAGTAATTGCTGCATTTGAAATGAAAGCATGCCTTACTAACACAAAAATATTTTCAATATTCAGAATCATGAACATGTCTAATATGACTTCCAAATATATATCTTAATATGTACACTTTAATCTAAACATTGAAATAGCATTATGAATTAACAGGATCTATCAAAGTATTTTTTCTGTCGCTGACACGTTTCAGAAAAGCTTTTCGTAAGTATCACGGATACCAAAATACTGTGAAAGCACTAAACAGGCTCTTTTGTTGTCTTTGAGAATGTGTTACAAAATATCTTTTGGTTACAAAAAGATAAAATGCACAAACTTCAGGGTAGCTTTCCGAGACAAAGGATGGCAACAAGCAGCAAGGGATCAGTTTTAATGAGAAAACTGCGGAAGTCTCACCAGCTGGTCTCAGAACAAGGAGATTTATCTTACACACAGGAAAAGCAACGTACTGGATAAAACAACTTTATTTGGTGGTTATGGACATTAGTGATGAGGTCTTCAGTCTACTCCACCTTTATTAAAGCCATATAAAAGAAATTAAACTTAACAACAGCTGTCACAACTTTTGTTTCACTCAAATTCGCTATTTGATTACAAGAAAGAGGAGCTACTCCAACAATGTTCAGGGAAACACTGGGTCTGTGGTACATTGACAACTAGTTCATTCCGTGGTCTAAATTAAGCGTGTATGCTTCTCTGCCTGTAAATCTGGACTGCTGTTCCTTGTTTGTGATTTCCCATGTAACGTGATTTTACAGCCACGTATCTAACAGTATTAACACCCCTCTCTCCTCTTTAAAGAAATATCCTATAATGAAAATAGACAACATTACAGTACTCTTTAAGGTTCATGTTGCCATTGCTTGAGAAAAATCAAAGCACTCGCAGTGTTACAATTTATTAATACGTCCCAAATTTGTTGCAAGAAACTTTTAAGGTAGCTCCACACTAAAACATTCACTCTAGATAACCAAACACTACAGCTAGGTGGAAAAAGCATTTCATATCACTTAGGTCCATGTATCACCCTTCCCTCAGGCCCACTCGAGGGAAACAATGCACTCTAAGTGTAAATTATAATGGAGATTAGCGGAGATCCTGCAGGGAAATAAAAAACTGTAGGTCCTTCCCCGCTGGAAATGCTACTTTCAATAGTATCAGCAGCGTAAGTGCTTCCTCATTAGCATAAAACTGAAGTCATTTTCTGTCATCAGGCCTCGTTCATATGTAAAACAGCAACCCTCGTGTTTCCCAGGGAAAGAAGGTCCCCCACCCCCCACATACCCTCCTCCAGCTGCAAGCAATACAGGTGCTAACTTATGCAAACACAAGGAAAACTCACTCTGCTGGTTTTTGACTTTAGTACGCTTCTTTTCTTCTTTTCCCTGGCCTCTGGGTGACTTTGCTCACTCTGGTCGGTGCTGATGGCTTTCACACCTACCCTTCCCTCCTGATCCAAGGCTGCATTTCTTCCTACAGTGGGCTTTGCTGCTTCTTGAAACTAGGCATGAGAAAAGCAGAGCCTCAGCTTCTCCTCCTAAAGTCTCTTACCTTCCTGCTTTCTCATTTCATATTGACCAATCCACTTATTTTATTCAAGCGTTGAGATTTGGTTTTTTTTTTCTTAGCAGCTAATCTGATTGGCTGCAGACAAGTTTATAAATTCTGCATTTCACTACAAAATTCATTTCACTCTGTGGTGCGATATTGCCTGGAGTACTACAAACTGAATCTTCAAAAGACTGACTTACTCATTAGCATGCATACACCTTCCTCTTCTGAGTGTTGCCTTCAGGTGCAGTCACCTTCTTTTCAAGTGCATATTCCTCATCTTTACCTCTGAGGCACATTCCTCCTGCTCAGCTCAGCTTCTGTACTTTCAACCTGCAGGGAAAGCAAGACACCATAGTTCAACCCACCATCCCCCTGCCCCACAGAGATATCCCCTTTACTCCTACCCTGGTCAGTTTCCCTTACACGAGCACGCAGACAATGATGTAGGAATTTGTTGTCTGTACAAAGTACAAGTGGACTAAATTGGTCTAAATACTTATTTGTTTCTGTCCAGTCCTCTCTGCAGCCTCTTGCTGTTTGACTTTTGGCCTGTATAGACTCCAGGCCTGCAGTGCCTTATTGATAGGGAATTATTTTGGAAAGCTCTGATATACATTGATATAGTTATACTAGAGGCTTTTAGCTTGCAAAAATAAAATACAAAAATAGCCGAAGGGCTGTGCTTTTATATTATTTAACCCTTATGAAGAGCGACAACTGACCAAACCACGCAGCAGCCACACGCTGGAGCCTGAGGCACCTCTGAGCTGCCCAGCGGGGAAACTCAGCCCTCGGTAAGCCCCAACCACACCGAATTCCCGCCCCCGCGCGCACCGCCGTGGCTTTTTATGTTTTATTTCCCTCAGAAGTTTAATTTTTCTGTGAGGTGGGCGGGAGG